AGGAGTACTTTCTGCCACCAAAACCCAGTGGCGGTTACCAGCTCTCCCAAGTAGGACTTAGAGGTCACTATCCCCCAAGCTGTCAGAAGCAAAAGTAAAAAAGCAAAAGTACCTCAGGGTTACTGCTCCGGAAAGTGGAAGAGACTGGGTCAGGCTTTCCCCAGTCAGGAGGGGGCCCCAGCAGGCAATAAGCTCAAGAGTGGATAGAGTGTGAGGATGCCCTCAAACCAAGAGGGACCAGTGATTTACTGCTTACTAGCGATAGAAATTACAGCTTATCAACACTTGAACAGCAAGAGGTTTACTTGTCATTGTCCCCCCACATGAGAAATGGCAGGATTTAGGGTTCCCTGAAGGGAAGAGGAGAAAGGGCGCCTGGAGGTATCCAACACCCACCTTTGCTCAAAGACCAGGAAGGGACAAGGAGGCCCCCAGTGAGCATCCTGTAGTGATTTTCCTCCCTCCCACAGCCCTGTGTGATCGGGTGGTGGCAAGAAGGGGAAGGTCAGTGGATCGTGTGTCCCCTTTGTTCCCCAGGTGACAGCGGGAAGGTGACCACAGTGGTAGCCACTCTAGGCCAAGGCCCGGAGCGCTCCCAGGAGGTGGCTTACACAGACATCAAAGTGATTGGCAATGGCTCCTTTGGGGTCGTGTACCAGGCACGGCTGGCTGAGACCAGGGAACTGGTGGCCATCAAGAAGGTTCTCCAGGACAAGAGGTTCAAGGTAGCTTGGGGCAAATGGGGACAAGGAAGTGTGACCAGGCATGATGGGCGAGAGGGCCCTAGTGAGAGTGCTGGACTTGGGTTTCCACAGGGATCTGAACATGGGCCAGAGAAGGGAAGAAGAAGAGAGTGAATTGTGTGGAAGATGGGGGTGCGGGTTCCACGAGAGCCCAGAGCTGCTGTTTATTGGGCTTTGGGTTGGTGTGAAGTGCTTTGTAGGCAAGTTCATATTTAATTCACGTGAAGATTCTTTGAGGGTAGGTATTGGTGTGTTGCTAAGACTGAGACTCGGATAAGAGAATTAACTTGAGGGCAAGACTAGACTCTGGCTTGTCTGATCCCGAAGCCTCCCACCTTACCCACTAAGTTACCCTTCTGCACAGAGAGGGAAGGACGCTGGTAGAGGTGATGAGTGTGTTTGTGAAGGTCATGCTCTGACCCAGGTGCTTGGCAAGGCAGGGTGAAATCCAGCCTGCCCTATGCTCACCAAACCATTGTGCCTTGGTGTGGGGCTGTATCTCCCTGAGGAAGGGGTGCCCTTTCCTCCTTCATACAGCTGTGCCCTGGAACCTAGTGGAAGCCCAGGGAACAAGGAGAGGATGGAAAAGGTGGAGGTTGAGGGCTACTTGGCGTTGTAAGGACTGGCGTTTTGGAGCGTAGGCTAGTCTGGATATAAAGGACCCGAGCCTAGGCTGGGAGGGAACCAGGTCAGGGCCTGGGTCTTGGCAGTGAGAACCCTCGGGCAGGAGGAACTCCAGAGTGTGGGTCAGAATTTGATTAGTGTTGAGTCCCAGAAGTGAGAGGGATCTGAGGGCAGGAGTTCCCGAGGCCAGAACTCAGGGGAACAGAGAATAGGGAAGAGACCAGGACTGTGTCTCGGAGAAGAGGCTGAGGCCGGACCCCCTATGGGAAGATGGAAGTCTGGAGCCTGGGACTCAGGATCCAAGTCAGGGTTCAAGGGCCCAGATGCCTCTAGGGGAAGCAATAGAGAGGAGTGGGGACCAGGGTGAATTGGGTGGCCAGTACTTGTCTTTTGTCACTCAGGCCTTGTGTGGCCATGTCATCTGATTATTCAAGACAAGCTGGAAAACTGAATTTATATGTGAAGACATTTGATTTTCAAAGGTCAGCAATAAATCGGACACTTTTGAATGGTGGGCTGAAAAAAAAAAACCCATCTGTAGGTTGGGTTTAGCCCATAGGCCTCCAGCTTGTGTGTAAGGGGAATGGGTTGGGGTGAGGAATTAGGGGCTGCCCCAGAGGGGCCCTGGAGCTGGGATGCGAGAAGTCAGCGCCTGGCTCCGTTGGCAGGAGCGGAGGAGCAGGGCTGTGGCAAGGGGCGCCAGGGAGGGGAGGCAGGGAGAGTCGGCTGTTGTCTGAGGCGTTTTCCGTTTGCTTCCAAGAACCGAGAGCTGCAGATTATGCGTAAGCTGGACCACTGCAATATCGTGAGGCTGAGATACTTCTTCTACTCTAGTGGGGAGAAGGTGAGACCTTGGGTGTGCGGGGGAGTCCTCCACCTGTGTTCCTGCCTGCCTTTTCCTGTGACTGCCAGTCCTTCCCCCGTTACCCCCACGAGCCTTCCCTTCCCTTCCCCACCCCGTTCCTCACAGTGCCTCACACCTCTCCTTTGCACTCTGCAGAAAGACGAGCTTTATCTAAATCTGGTGCTGGAATACGTGCCCGAGACAGTGTACCGGGTGGCCCGCCATTTCACCAAGGCCAAGTTGACCATCCCTATCATCTATGTCAAGGTGGGCAGGCGGGCAGGCAGGCTGTTGGGACCCAGGCCTACAAAGCCAGGGACCCTGGATCCTCCTGTCTTCTGTGGGTTCCCTCATTCTCCAGATTTATGTTGCTGTCTGCAGACTTTGGCGTTGCCTGTCCTTGTCTCCATAACCACCATAGACGGAGCTTGCCCAGTGCTGGGCAGGCCACCCTGAGGCCTGACTGAATCAGGGAGGCAGGCTGACTGGGGTCTGGGGAGACTGCAAGGGACCTGCTCGGGTCCACCGTGGGAGCCCGGCGGCACCAGTGGTGTTGGTGGAGTTAGCTCGGAATTGGGCTGGGGCCTGAGAATGCCGAGGGAGAGACACTGAGGTCCGAGTCCTGGCCTTCGGAGCCTTGGCAGAAGGGGGTGGGAAGGAGGCAGGGCTGGAGGAAAGCCTGCCTCTCCATCGTCTGTGCAGGCTCATTTCCCAGGGCCTGGTGCTGTGGCCCGGGTGTTACTCTCCTAGCTGGTGTTTGAATGAATGGGTGAATGGATCAGAGAGCCGAGGGCTGATGTGGAGAGTAGAGGCTGCGGCCGCCTTCAGCATCGGGAGGAAGTGGGTGGGTTCAGGTTTGATGAAGGTCGCTCCTCCTGCCGGCCTTAAGAACCCTGGGCCCAGGTGGGCCACAGAGCCCTACCGGTGGTTGGTGTTGGGGGACTCTGCTTCCCGGGAGGGGAGTCCTCTGGTTTGGTGAATCCCTACCATGGCTGCCTGTGTGCTGAACCCAGCACCGAGCAATTCCCGAAGCCCAGTTGACTGAGACCCAGACTTTGTTCCGGGAGAGCTCTGTTTAGCCGAGCGGACAGCTGTTGTCACAAGGAACTATAAAACGACTAGCAACTGCCATATTAGAAGGAGCACAGGGAATTCTGGAAACAGGCCCCCAGGCCTGCCTGCTTTGGGGGATAAGGAGGATCAAGGAAGGCTTCCCGGAGCTCATCAGGTGCAGGGTGAGGAAGCGGCATCTCTAGCCAAGGGCAGCGGAAAGAGAGGAGGAGGGGGGCCCGGGAAGCTGGCCTGAGCATTTACTGTGTGCTGGGCACTGGTCTAGGCCCTGGGGGACGCGGCGGCGGAGACGAACACACCAAGATCCCTGCTCTCTTGGCACTTATGTTGTAATCAGTGGGAGGGAGAGTGGCAGGAAAATCCAGCCGGAGAGAGGCTAGTCCGTGGGTGGTTTTGACTGGCAGACGAAGGAGGCTGAGCCCTTCCTATAGCCGGTGGGTTTGGAGCTGAGTGACTGACTCCCACGAGGCCTTCCTGACGTCGGGCTTCTGCTGAGGTGTGTGGCCGAGGTAGCATTCTCGAAGTGGGGAGCGGCAGCGGCCCGGATGTTGCACATGCCCCGTCCTGAACTTACGGAATCGGAAGCTCTGGGAGCGGGACCCCGGGGTCCCTGTTTTAACAAGCCCTTGCAGTGATTCCGGCACATACTAAAGCTTGAGGTCCCGGGGGCGGCAGGAGAGATTTTGAGCCAGGGAGAGGAGCACGGGAGGGCCCTGGAGGCCAGGCGGGCGGAGCTGGGCTGCAGCTGTGCCGTCCCCTGCCCCTCCCAGGTGTACATGTACCAGCTCTTCCGGAGCTTGGCCTACATCCACTCCCAGGGGGTGTGTCACCGTGACATCAAGCCCCAGAATCTGCTGGTGGACCCCGACACCGCTGTCCTCAAGCTCTGCGATTTTGGCAGGTGGGCCTGACCGGGAGTGCACTGGTTGGCCGAGGGGCGGGGGGGGGCCCTCCGACCCTCGCCTTCTGTTTACTCCTGCCCCCCTCTTCCCGCAGTGCAAAGCAGTTGGTCCGCGGGGAGCCCAACGTCTCGTACATCTGTTCTCGCTACTACCGGGCCCCGGAGCTGATCTTTGGAGCCACGGATTACACCTCATCCATCGGTCAGACTTACGGGAGGGCGGGGGTGGGCAGCGGCAGGCGCGGCAGCTTTTGCGTCTTCTGCGGGCTGTGGGCCGCGCTCCGTGCTACAAGCCTAGCCGCGTTCTTTCATCCAGTCCTCCCAGGCTTCGGGGGGCGATGCTGGCGTCTTGCTCGCTGCACAGACGAGCAGGCTGAGGCGGAGAGCGGTGAGGCCGCCTGCCTGCATTTGCCCCGCTGGGGCTGGGCAGGGCCGGGCTCTGGAAGCTGACCTGACTTCAGAGTCCACTCGGGCTCTGGAACCTCCCAGTCTGCCCTCTCCTCCCGGCCTGGGGCGGACGGGCTAAGGCCCGGGGGAGGGGCTGCCGGGGACGTTGGAGCCGAGGCCTGCCAGCCAGCCCGAGGGTGGGACATGCTCATCTCACCAGGCCTCCGGGGGCCGGCCCCGCTGGTGGGGATGACGGTGCTACCTGCCAGGCTTGAGGAGAGGGCGTGAGGGGGTTGGGAGAGAACACTCAGCAGCAGTGTGAACTGTGTGGTTCTTAGGGGTGAACTTGTGCCTCGGGGGGTCGAGGTACAGAGCAGGGAGGGGCCGAGAGTACCAGCCTGTATGTAGCCGTTCCCGTGGGCAGGATAGAGCCTGGGCCCAGGACTTCAGGCTGGACCTTCCCGAGGCCCAAGAACACAGAGGTCTGTGCTAGCTACATTGGGCTGGCTGGAGGCTGGAGGTAGAGCAGGGGCTTCCTGGGGTCGGGGCGGGGAGAGAGGCAACAAAGGTGGCAAACACTTGGATCGCAGAGCACGGCGCCGTCAGGCAGACCTGGAGGTTCAACAGCGGGCTCCCGTGTCCCTAAACCCTGCAGGACCTGGAGCAGGGTGCTGCTTCTCGGGGCCAAGTGAAAATGGGGCTCCCTCCTGGCACCCTCAGGATGACTGTGGGGGGAGAGAAGCGTTGGCGAGGGGATGGGTGGGGCAGCCCTGACCCTCCCCGCATTCCCCCTCAGATGTGTGGTCAGCTGGCTGCGTACTGGCCGAGCTCCTCCTGGGCCAGCCCATCTTCCCCGGGGACAGTGGGGTAGACCAGCTGGTGGAGATCATCAAGGTGAGGGCATGGCAGGAGTGGGCAGGGATGGGCAGGGATGGGGCTGAGGGATAGGGGCTTTGGCTCAGACCCGTCCCTTCTTCTCCAGGTGCTGGGAACACCAACCCGGGAACAGATCCGAGAGATGAACCCCAACTACACGGAGTTCAAGTTTCCCCAGATTAAAGCTCACCCCTGGACAAAGGTGGGACGGGGCTAGGGGCTCAGGCAGCATGGCCGAGGTCCCCTTTGGAGGCCAGCTGGTCTTGGGACCTGGCTATAGAGTCAGGGCTTGGGAATGGGGCCGTTAACTCATCAGATTTCAGTTTATGGCATCTCCCATCCTCCGGAAGTTGAGGGTCCACGGTAAGTTTGAGTGCCATTTCTCTGCTGGGGAAACAGGCTCCCTGCAGGGCCTGTCCCATGACGGGACCCCCGCGAGCTGCTCACCCCAAAGAACGTGGTTTCCCCTTAGTGGTCGTGCCTCGTATGGGAAGTGGGGGTGCGGGAGTCCACAGTGCCTGGGCGGCTCACCCTCCTGACCACCCCCTAAGGTGTTCAAATCTCGAACGCCGCCGGAGGCCATCGCACTCTGCTCGAGCCTGCTGGAGTACACACCGTCCTCAAGGCTCTCCCCTCTGGAAGCCTGCGCCCACAGCTTCTTTGATGAACTGCGATGTCATGGAACCCAGCTCCCCAACAACCGCCCGCTTCCCCCCCTCTTCAATTTCAGTCCTGGAGGTGAGGGCACGGCTTGGAATGCAGGGAGCCGGAAGGGCAGGCAAAGGTTGTGGAGGAGGGCTTGGTGTTAGAGAGAGGAGTGGGATGCTGAGGGAGGGGTGCTCGCCCCCGATGCCAGAGCCCCGAAGCTGCTTCACCCGTGCTCTGCGGTCACGTGTGCCGGGCCCCTTCTGGTTTGTCATTTAAAGCGTTCAGTAGCTACACGTGTCAGCTGGCCTTGCCAAGAGCTGGGTTGCTACCTGGTGCCCCTTTCTAACCCCGACCCCGTCTCCCAACACCCCGCCTCCTGACTGGGCATGTCCAATCCTGTCTCTAGAACTCTCCATCCAACCATCTCTCAACGCCATTCTCCTCCCTCCTCACTTGAGGTCCCCAGCGGGCACTGCCTCCCTCACTCCATCCTCACAAGGTAGGTCGGGGGCCCTCTGCTTCTCAGCCTGGGAGGCCAGCCTGTGCCTACAGCCCTGGAGTTCCCCGCACGGGTGTGGAAATTGTTGACATCTGATAGCATACACGTGAACAGCCACCTTCGTCGGGTCTGATTGCCTGTATTTGTGTTTAAGTGCCAACCGGAAAACCAAAGACCTAGGTCTGGCTTGCACAAACAAACAAAACGTTAAATTTGTTGTCCACATTTAAAAATTGAGGCCACTGCATGTTACAAATCCAGATTTCCTATGTCTCTTGGGGAAGAAAATCCGACTGGGCAGCAGGGGGCCTGCCTTTCCTCAGGGCAGTGCTGTGAGTTGGGGCCAAGTTCTAGCCACCCTCTCTTCTGTGGGGCCCGGCTGTCTGGTGAGTCACTCAGTGAGCAGCCTGGCCCTTTGGCGTCCGAGTATGCAGCGCTGGACCTAGAGCGGCAGCTGTCCGTTTCTGACGTAGCATCCCCCACTGGGTTCCTGCTCTTGGGGGAGGTCTGAGAGGCAAAGGGTAACTGTCTGCTTTTTCCTCCCCCTCAGCTTTAAGTGAGGCTCAGACCGGCTCGGACTGGCAGTCACCTGACGCCACAACTCCCCTCACTAACTCTTCCTGAGGGCCCCACCAACAACTCTTCCATCTGGGAGCCCCCAGTGGGGCTGGGAAGGGGGACCATAGCCCATCAAGCTCCTGACCTGGCTGGGCCCCTAGACTAGAGGGCAGAGGTAAATGAGTCCCTGTCCCTACCTCCAGTCCCTCCCTCACCAGCCTCACCCTGTGGTGGGCTTTTTAAGAGGATTTTAACTGGTTGTGGGGAGGGAAGAGAAGGAAGGACAGGGGGTTGGGAGGCATGAGGACCTCCTACCCCCTTGGCCCCCTCCCCTCCTCCCAGGCCTACACTCCTCCAACCCCTCCTCCCTTCCTGTGTCCCTTGTAAATAGAACCAGACCAGCCCGTCTGCTCCTCTTCCCTTCCCGCCCCCCCCCCTCGGGTGTAAATAGATTGTTATAATTTTTTTCTTAAAGAAAACGTCGATTCACACCGTCCAACCTGGCCCGTCCCCCTTCTACAGCTGTGTCCCCCCTCCTGTCCTCGGCCCCTAAGATCTCCTCCCTCCTCTCCCCACCCTGGAGGGCTGAGGGGGTGGGTGTGGGGGAGCTCCCCATGTCTTAGTTTCCACAGTAAGGTTTGCCTGTGTACAGACCTCCGTTCAATAAATTATTGGCATGAAAACCTGCTTCCTGTCTGGCTGCCTTGTTTCCATGGAGGTGAGGGAGGTGCCCTGAGGGGCTGTGCTGGGACAGGACCTCTCAGGCAGGGGCACCGTGGACAGTGAAGCCAGGCTGGGCTGCCGGAGGCCTGAGTCCCGGCCCTGGCTCACGTGCCCAGCCTCCCCGGGCCTCTGCTCTCCTTCACGCATGTGATGAACAGAGTCTGGCTCATCCGCTGCAGAGGCCTCGGGGGAGCCGGCCTCATGGACCCTGCCATCGTCCTCTTCTGCCTCAGGAGGGAGGCAGGCACTGTCCTCCCCAGGTGACAGTTGAGAACTGGGGATCAGGGGTCAAGGCCATAGAAAGTGGCAGAGTCAAGACTTGAACAGAGGGCTCTGTGTCCCACAGCCCGAGCTACCTGCTGCTTCACGCAACAGCAGATGACATGTAGTCACTCAGGCCAAAACAGCCTGGATGTAGACTCGTAGTGGGCACGGACATGGGCAGAGGAGCGGTCCTTAAACCCTAACAGATCTCCAAGCTTTCATTTCTGTTTCAAACAGGGCACGTACCTGGCCCCCGTCTAGGGATGCTGGGAAGCGACAAGCCTGGGAAGGTTGGTGCAGAGAACTTGGCTTCTTCCCTTGCTTTGAAAACATGCTGGGGCCAGATGGTGGGGCCACGGGCAGAGGGAAATGGCATCTCTTACATGTGGTGCCAATGGTATGTGAGGGCAGGAGGCCCCGGAAGTGGAAGGAGGCCTGGGGAGGAGCAACTGATATGTCCTCCACTGGACTTCAATTGTGAAGAAAAAGGGAATGAGTTTGTCGTCATTTTAAGTAAGCTATGTCCACTGCGGGGGGTGGGGGGCGCACTCAGCTTGAACTCACGACCCCGAGGTCAAGAGCTGCACGCTCTACTGACTGAGCCAGACAGGTGCCCCAAAAGGGGAATTCTGAACATGTCCCAAGAGTTCAGGGACTGTTCCTGTGGTACCTGGACTCTCCAGTCTGCTTAGGCCAGCCCCAGGGGTAACTATACTGCCCAGAACAATCCCTGGCCTTCCCTGCTCGATACCTTCTGGATACCACCTTGTTTGTAAGATGAATACATACAGCAAGTAGACCAGAGACGGCAGCAGGGCTGGTCCCCCTGCCTCCCTGCTGCTCACAATTGTTCAGCCACGAGGTCACTGAGGTGGTCCCTGACCCTCCCTCCCACTCCTGTGGCTTCTGCCCTAGTCTGATCCCATCCTTTCCCTCCTAGACCATCTTCAGCCTCCCCCTGGCTCCACCTTCATGCCAGGAAGCCCTAAGCCCCACTTTTGACCCTCTCTTCCCCCCTATCCCACCCTGCCCCAACTTCTGGGGCAGGCTTTCCCTGCCTTCCCAGGTCCGGGCCTGCCTCCCTCCCCAACAACTCTCAGCCATAGCCTCCCGTGCCTCAACACCTCGCTCTGTAGAGGCCCGGCGGGAGCTTGCCCCAGGGACCTGCCATAAATCATCTGCTGCTGTTTAGAGAAGGAAGGACTGCCACCTTAGGTAACCTTTGAAAGGGTTGGGGATCCCCTCCTATTCCTAAGACCTTTGATCTTTCGGGGGCCCCAACAAACCCCAACTGCTCTGTGACGCCAGCTCACTTTTCCTCCAGCGGTAGCAAACCCTCCTCTGGGCGCCACCTCCCCCCCCGCCCCCAGTCTCAGGTCACACTCACTCAGCAGTACTGCTTAGAGACATGGGCTGAACGGACCCCCTGGATTCAAATCTCCGCGACACTGCTGCCTACTGTGAGACCTTGGGTGAGTCTCATCCGTACAACAGGGCTAACGCTGAGATCACCTCACAGGCCTGCTGGGTCACAATCCGTGTACGGCGCTGACCGCGTGCCTGCCACGGCTAGGCAGCCGCGTTCGCTGTTATTGTAGCTGTGAATAACTGGACGGTCTCCAAGCAGACCAAGAACTCACCCTCCTCTGCAGTGCTGTCTGCCTATGTTCTCTTCCTCTTTCGCTACCAGATTCCTAGTGTTCCCTCAAGGACTACCTCCTTCGGGGTGGGGGGAGGGGCGGGGGGGGAGGAGGGGTTGTTCCCTGCTCTGGGATCCCACTGTCCCTGCACATCCCCATCACAGCCCTGAGGACGGCGGGGCTGAGATCTGCCTGCTCCGCAGGGGCAGGGCAGAGGCCTGACTCCTCTCCGGCCCCCAGCATCGCCCAGCACGTGCGAGGGGGGCCTGAGGACTCCAAGGCTGAATGAATCAACAAGACACACTCAAGAGAGCAAGGCCATCAGTACTTGGGTGCTCCTCCTGCCCCGCCGTGTGCCTCCTGGGGCAGCGCCTGGCTCTGAGTCATCATCCCTGGGGCTCCGGCATTTCTTTCGACATTGTCAAAAGGGAGCTTAAGGGAGCCCAGAGAACTCAAGTACCTTTCTCCACCAGGCAGAGCCAAGTCCCGGTGCCCCGGGGTCCAGGGGAGGGGAGGGCTTGGGGACGAGCGAGAGCCTGAAGAGGCATACGACGGTGCCCAGCACCGATCTGGCGCGTGGTCGGGGCTCAGGAAAGGTTACCTGACGTTGCCGGGCACCAGGGTGATGGATGCAGAGCCAAGAGTCTTGGCGAGCCCCGTTTTGCAACGCAGTGGGATGACCTGGGACGGATCGCCATCAGGCCTCAGAGCTTCAGTTTCCCCACAGGCAGAGAAAAGTGGCAAGAGACACCAGGGCAGGGCCCTTGTGAGGAGTCCGGGGGTACGAGGCCAGGGTGGATCCCGGCACCCGGTGGGTGCCGGAGCAGCTTGCCGGGGTGCGGGTGGGGGGGCTCCCCTCGCCCCCCAGAGGGGCCCACAACGGCCATCTCACTGCTGCTCCCCAGCCGTGTCACACGAAGGCCGTGTCCAACTGCAGGAGCCCGCCCGCCTCACTGGCCCCCAGTGCCGCCTGGCACAGCTGCAGCGTGTCCTCCAGCGCCAGCGGCTGCGACGTCTCGATGATGGCGATGGTCTCCCCGAGCTCGGTGCACATGATAGTCTGCTGAGGCTCGGGCGGCGGCGGCGGCGGCGGCGGGGGGGCGGGGGGCAGGGATTGCGGCGGGGGCGGCGGCGGGGGCCCGGGGCGGGCGCGGGCGTGGACGCGCTGGTGCAGCCGCAGGCCGGCCAGGGCGTGGAACCAGCGGCCGCAGGTCCCGCAGTAGTAGGGGCTCTTGCTGTACAGGCCGGGGCCGGGCAGGCGGGGCGCGCGCGCGAAGGCCACGGGCCGCAGGTGCAGCCTCCGGTGCTGCTGCAGGTTGGAGCTCTGCGTGAAGCGCTTGCCGCAGTCCAGGCACTGGTAGGGCCGCACGCCCGTGTGCGTCAGCTGGTGGCGGCTGAGGTTGGCCAGGGAAGCGAACGTCTTGCCACACGAGTGGCACTGGAAGGGCCGCTCGCCCGTGTGCGTCCGCAGGTGGTTGCGCACGTGGACCAGCTTCTTGAAGCCCTTGCCACACACGCCGCAGCGGTGCCGCCGCTCGGGGGGCCCGTGGACGGCGCGCCGGTGCCGCGAGAGCCGGGAGGCCGAGGCGAAGGACTTGGAGCACTGCGGGCAGGGCAGCTGGGCGGGCGGGGCGGGCGGCGGCGGCGGCGGCGCGGCGGCCTCGGCGGGCACCGGGGAGGCCGCCGCCGCCGCCGCCGCGGGGGGCGCCCCGCTCTTGCCGGCGTGCGTGCGCCGGTGGTAGAGGAACTTGGTCATGTTGCTGAACGTCTTGCCGCAGCGGCAGCGATGCAGCGGGTTGGCGGTGTGGGCCCGCCGGTGAGCCACCAACGTGAGCTCGGTGCCGAAGCCGCGGCCGCAGTCCACGCAGAGGTAGCGCGCTTCGCCGCGGTGCAGCCGCAGGTGCTGCTCCAGGGAGGCGGCCTTCTTGAAGACCTTGGAGCAGGTGGTACACTCGTGTGTGCCCCCGATGTGGGCCCGCCCGTGCGCCAGCAGCCGGTTGGCCGAGCTGAAGCTGCGCTGGCACTGCGTGCAGTGGAAGGGGTGGGCCGCCGATGCTGGGCCGCGGGAGGCCCGCCGGTGTCGCCGGCGCGCCTCCGCGGCCGTCCAGGGTTGGGGGCAATCCGCACAGCCCTGGGCCCGGCCGGCTGTGGACCTGTCGCCTCCCGTAGCATCCTCACCGACCTCTGCCGCCACCTCCTCTTCCTCCTCTGTGTCTTCCTCTGTGTCTTCCTCTGTGTCTTCCTCCTCCTCCTCTAGCCCGTTGCGCTCTTCTTTCTCTAGGGAGTCAAAGTGGGTGCCCTGATGCTCCAAGAACTCCTCGGGAGTGGCACAGAGGGTAGAGCACTCGGGACACTCGTAGGGCTCCATCTTAACTTCGGGTGGAACTGGGAGTGGCGGGGGTGGCATCGGAGGGGGCATCGGGGGCGGCCCTGGTGGCTCGGTGGCTGCAGCAGAAAGGTGCCGGGCCTTGCGATGAGCCACCCACAGCTCAGGCGAGGGGAAGAGCTCCTGGCAGTCCCCGCACTGGTACTGGATCTGGCTTGCAGACTCCCGGAGGTGGGCGTCCTGGTGGGCCAGGAGCTCGCCGGGGGACAGGATGAGCTGGTTACACTCCCCACACTGGAAGGGCCCTTCCTCAGGCCCTGCCATGAGCTCGGGCTCCAGGCCAGGATCCTGGGCGGCCAGTGCCTCATCCTCGGTGACAGTGGGCACATGCTGTTCCTGGTGCGAGAGGACTTCCTCCAGCGTGTTGTAGAGACTGCCACACTCAGAGCACATGAACTGGTGATGCTGGAAGAAAAGGGACGAGGCCAGCGCCTCCCCAGGTGTCATCTCGGTCACCTCTGCTGACATCTCCCCGAACATCGGTGTTGACGTCTCCACCGCCCCTGGTGACATCTGTGTGGGCAGCTCAGCCACCTCAGCCGCCACCTCTGCCATGGTGGGGAGGGGGGCAGTGCCTAGAGAAAGGAGGGGGAGCTGGTGAGACATCAGGAACCCAGGGGCGGCGGGGGCGGGGGAGGCGGCTCAGGAGCTTCCCCGCTCGTCCCCTCACTCACCAGACTATCAATCAGCAAGCCTGGATCCAGTGCTGGTACCTCAGTTTTCAATGAACATGTGACTCCGAAGCGGATGCACGCCCCATGGTGCCAGACATCTGTAAGACAGCGACAGCCCCCTTCCGTCTGGCCCCTGAGGCTACCGTCCCTCCTTACCCGGAGGGCCACCCGCACCCTTGAGAGAGAGAGAGAATGAGAGACAGAGAGCACGAGAGGGAGGAGGGTCAGAGGGAGAAGCAGACTCCCCGCCGAGCAGGGAGCCCGATGCGGGACTCGATCCCGGGACTCCAGGATCATGACCTGAGCCGAAGGCAGTCGCTTAACCAACTGAGCCACCCAGGCGCCCCACCTGCACCCTCTCTAAGAACACGTGTCTCTTTATGCCTCTTGACCTTTGCCTGGATGGTTTCCTCACTGGGCACCACCTTTCCTCCTGCCATATGGACACATACAGAGCAGCAAAGAGTTCAAGAGCACAGGCTTCTGGACCAGACTGCCCTTGGCTTGAATCTGAGCTCCAGCACATTATTAACTTTCTCTCTCTGATGCTGTTTTGTCACCTGTGAAAGGGCGTAAAAGTAGTGCTGACCACAAAGGCCCTGGTGCCCGAGAAAGGTCAGACAGAACCATGACTTGTGGTTCTCCAGAACTGTTGTTCCTGAACCTGAAGTCTTTCCTGTTGCTATTCCTTCTGCCGAGAAAGTTCTCTCCTTTTCTGGTCTAGCAAAACCGTGCCCAGCATTTCCTTTGTGAAGCCTTTTCTGACATCTCTACATCCTCAGGGGGATGTCCACTCCTTTTTTTTTTTTTTTTAAAGATTTTATTTATTTAACAGAGAGAGACACAGTGAGAGAAGGAACACAAGCAGAGGGAGTGGGTAAGGGAGAAGCAGGCTTCCCGCCAAGCAGGGAGCCCGATGTGGGGCTCGATCCCAGGACCCTGGGATCCTGACCTGAGCCGAAGGCAGACGCTTAACGACTGAGCCACCCAGGCGCCCAGGGGGATGTCCACTCCTGCCTCCTTGGGGTTCCTGTGGTAATCTGTGCCACCTCTAGCAAAGCCAATATCACGAGCCCGGGATACAGTCTGTGCTCCTCTTCAGACTGAGCATGCAGGCATGGCAGGTCTGATTCACTGTAGGTGCTGATGTTACCAACAAAACCACGGACCTGGGACGGGGATCTTTAACTTCTGAACTTCCCTCTACATGCCCCCATCTCCCTTTCTACATGTGTGGGCTCAACACAACCCAGGCCTCTGAGCCACTTGAGCAAATGACTGTGCCCCTTACAACCTAGTTTCTGAATCCAACCTCCACTGTCTCCATCTCTTCTTTAACTCATCTGTTAGTGCCAGAGGGCAGGTGGAGCTCAGCTTAAAGCCAGGCAGGCAAAGATGCTCATATTAAGCTCCCAGAGAGCAGGGAAGTTAGTTTTTTCATCACTGATATATTTCCAGCACCAAGAACAATGATTAGCCCACAACAGGTACTCAGTAGATATTCTGTGAATGAAAAATGCTCCCTCCAGGAAGTGAGGCCATGAGAGTCTAACTCTCCCTGTGCCCATCCCACTTCTCCCAACAGACCAACTTTCCCCATGGACCATGAACTCCCACAATAACACAGCCGAGCACATGACCCTGTTTTCAGTTGATGCCCAATACATGCTACCTGAATAAATGATTCACTAAAAGCCCAGGACTTACTTTTTCCTAACTACCTATTCCAACTCCCTCACTAATATTTGAATTGCCACGGCCCTGCACACAACAGCCACCCAATAAAGGATCTTCCTGGAAGGAGTCAGCCCGGATCCCCAGAGTTCAGTTTTTCCTTGTTTACAGCCGCACTCCAAACAGAACTCCCATCAGGCGAGGCCCAAGGCCTGGTGTAAGGCTTACACACAAAGTAGGCACCCAGTACATGTCCCTCTGGAAGGTGGCCCAAGCAACCTAAAATTTGGACTTTTTGTCTACATTCCTCCTTTCCCAATTGTGGGATTGTGTACTATTGGTGGTGGAGAGGAGATAGGGACTTTTTACACGGTAGACCAGTAAGTCCTTCCAGGAAAGAACCCACCAGGGGCCTGGAAGTTCAACTTTTCCGCTACACGTCCCTTTTCACCGACCAGACTTATCAACTCCGCTGCACGAGAGCGCCCTGCAGGGGTGGGGGCGGCGGGCTCCAGGGTAGGGTCCTGCACGCCGCACGAGTGGAATCAATGCTCTAGGGCACATAGGAAGGAGCGCTCTCCTTCCACTCCACGCCGCTCCCGCCCTAGCGCAGGCCCCAAGGCTCTTCGTCCCCCGGTGTCCCCTTCGTTCTACCTCCGCCCTCTCCCTACGCCCAGCGAACTCTTCCCCCGCCCGCCCCGCGGCGCCCTCACCAGTCTCTCTCGCCTCCTGCAGCCCCCGCCGCTCTTGACACAGACCCTCTCTGCTCCAGGCGTGCGGGACCCCTCACTATCCACGCCTCCCATTGGGAGGTGCCCTTACCCGTGGCAGCCAATCAGAGCCGTCAGCGAAGGGCACGCGCCCTTGCGCCTGCGTGTTGACGTTCAGGCGGGGCTCGACGAGTTTCTCCACGCACACAACTGTTCCCTGTGGGCGGAGCTTGGGGGGGGGCGGCTCAGGCAAGCGCCTGCGCAGTTCTTCTGGGCTGCCCTGCCAAAAATCAGTTAAGTGGTGAGAAGTGGGCATCATTGGAAAGCGAGGAGTGAACTGGGTGGCCGGAGACCTTGACAGAGGTGTTATTTTGTAGCTGAAGAGGCTGAGCATCTCTGAGAGCATAGCTTTGGAGCCAGACACACTTGGGGTACTTCTCTCAGGGCCTCTCTTTTACTCTGTGTAAAATGGGCTTGAATCACATCCACCTCAAATTCTGTTGAGGGGTTGAATGAAATCAGACACGTAAAAGCGCTCAGCACTGATACACTGTGGATGCTCACTATAACCCATCTAACATGGACGTAGTCCTTCCCAGTTTGTAAAATTGCTTTCCCTTCCCTCCCACTCTTCACTTGATTTAACGATAGTCACTTATCGGGCGCCTACCGTGTCTGGCCCAGGAGTAGGCCTCAATAGGTGACAGTTGACATTAGAGATAGGGACTCTTCCAAGGTCACTGCTGCAGCCCAAGCAGAGCCAGTGCTGAGGCAGTGCCAGGCAGGACCTAGGTCCCCTGCCTTTCAAGGGGAGATAATTCAGGGGTGGGAACCACTCCGGGGAGACTTGTTTCAAGGTATGTGCGAGCCCTGACCTTGAGTCACCTAAGTGTGTGTGTGTTGGGGGTGTGGCCACCATGCCCAAGGCTCCGCCTCAGGGGAGCTGCTCAGACATGCAGCCTGGACTCCAGTTCTCTTGATAGGGACCTGCCCTCGCAAGAGTGCAACTTGTAGGTGCAGGTTAGAGAGGGGGTATTGGGAGGCTCCTTGACCTTGGAGGGCAGAGATTGGAAAGGGTTGTTGGGTGGGTGGGGGGCATTTGAGACAGGAAGAGGCTGTAATAGGGGACTGTGATGGATGCCATCAGGAAGGGAACAGTCAGGATGGAGGGGCCTGTTGCAATCGGGAAGGAGGTATTGGTTCCTAACATGAGATGGGGGAGCTTCCTTGTCTTGCTCAGGGGAAGGAACTTAGAGATGGGGCTTCTGTTGGGTGAAAGGAGATTCCATTTGGGGTCATGAGATGGCACGGTTGTGACGTAGGTTCCTGGTTGCCATTAGGAGTAAGGGGCAGGCTGATAAGAGGAGCGTCCAAGTCCAGATCATAAGGGGTCTGGCAGCTATTTGAAGCCAGGACGGTTGCTATTGTGGTCCTTTGCCTTGGGCAGCTGGGAGCAGTGGTAATGTGGGCGTCTAAATCATGTTTAGGATAGGGCTGTAGTCCATGAGATGAGTATTTCCAACAGGGCTTGACGTGGGGCAACAAGGACCCAGCGGCTTAAGTCACGGGCGGACAGAAGCAACCCTGCACGCAACCAGGTACCAGATCCAACTCAGACGCGGACAGCGCTCTCGCTTTGCGCAGGCGCAGCACTGGCGGGCAAGACGCTACGGATGGGGGCGGGCCCGGAGGGGTGGGGCTTGGAAGCTTCACTCTGCGCTTGCGCCTAAGGGGCGTGGCGGTCGCACCTGCGCGAGTTGGGGGAAGGAGGAGGAGCGAGGTGACGCAGGCGTAATAATAGAGAAGGTGCCAGAAAGATCCAAAACAAGTGGCTGCGGCCGTCGCCCAGGAGTCGTCAGACGCCGGAATCCGGTGAGGATCCAGAGAGGCCCGAGGGCGGCTAGTGGCGGGTAGACGGAACCACTTGTGTGTTGGGGGGAGGGCGGTACCGCCCTAACAGGGCGAGGGGGTCGGGATCGGAGAGCACCACCTGTGTGGGGCGACGGGCTGCTTTGGTCGGTTCCACTTGTGGGGGGCAGAGGGTTACTCTCGGACGCTACCATTTGGGTGGAGCCGCGGCGCTGATCGGACAGTACCAGTGGACGGAGCCAAGGGGCTCGTCCGGGCAGTGCTGCCCAGAGTCAAAGGGCAGTTGGCAGGGTTTCCCGGGATGGGCCCCCACGCTGGTTCGGACCGAATCACTTGGTCGGGTCCGGAGGCTGGTTCGGGGCATACCACCTGGGGAGGGGCGTTCGGGCTGGGCCGGCCCAACTGGTGGGAGGACGAGCGGGGTCTAGCGTCTCGACCTGTTACTAGGGGACCTCGGGCGGTACCATTCCTTTCTGAGGGAAGGGGAGCGGCAGAGAAGACAGGGGTGCGAAGGTGGCCCTGCCCGGCAGGACGGGGCGGGGGAGACGCACCGGCGGGGGCGGGGTCCGGGTCCCCGCGTCGCTGACCATTGCCCCCTCCCCACTGTGTGGGTTCTAGGCCCTGGTTCAGAGCTTGTGCCGCCCCCCCCTCCCCTGGGTATGGCGCTGTCCGGGTTGACCCCGGCCCCGAGCTGGGAGGAGGATGAATGCCTGGACTACTACGGGATGCTGTCGCTTCACCGTATGTTCGAGGTGGTGGGCGGGCAGCTGACCGAGTGCGAGCTGGAGCTGCTGGCCTTCCTGCTCGACGAGGCCCCCGGCGCGGCCGGCGGTCTGGCTCGCGCGCGAAGCGGCCTGGAGCTGCTGCTGGAGCTGGAGCGCCGCGGGCAGTGCGACGAGAGCAACCTTCGGCTGCTGGGGCAACTCCTGCGCGTGCTGGCACGCCACGACCTGCTGCCGCACCTGGCGCGCAAGAGGCGCCGGCCAGGTATGGTTGAATGGGAGAGAGACAGACTTCCGGTGGGGACGGGGCCTTGTCCTGGCTGGGTCTCCATGGTGGCCTGATACGGACAGCACCGTATCAGCCTGTGTCCCAACTCGCTCCTCCCCTTCTCTCAGTATCAATGAGGAACACAGCAGGGAGGAGGCATGGCTTTGGGAGAGGTGAGTTTGTGGAATTTGGCCACATCAGTGATGTTTGTGGCCACTGTTTATGGAGGGCTTATTTCATGCGAGGCACAGTGGTAAGCCCTTCGTGTGAACTGTCGCCTTATATTCTCCTAGTAATCCCATGAGGAAGTCCTGTTAGTGTCCTCGTCTTACAGGGAAAAGAACAGGGTTAAGAGAAGTTAAGCAGCTTGCCCACATATAAGAATTGAATCCTGCGTGTTGAGCACAGGAAGTACAAGGTGTTGGGACTGACAGAGTGTTCGTTCCATGAAGCTTATGTTTAGTGGGGGGGGGAAGTAGCCATTAAGGCAGATAGTTTATTTTTGTATAGGGTTATAGAAAGACTAAAGGAAAGTTAAGAGAATACAGAGAGGGGCGCCTGGGTGACTCAGTTGGTTAAGCGACTGCCTTCGGCTCAGGTCATGATCCTGGAGTCCGTGGATCGAGTCCCGCATCGGGCTCCCTGCTCGGCGGGGAGTCTGCTTCGTCCTCTGACCCTATCCCCTCTCATGTGTTCTCTCTCTCTCAAATAAATAAATAAAATCTTTAAAAAAAAAAAAAGGAGAATACAGAGAGTAGGGAGTGCTTCATAGTGAAGGGAGCCCCCCTCCCCCAGATTGGATAACCAGTCAAAACCTTTCTGAAAAAGCGATGTTTAAATGGAGGTTCTACTCCTGCTGTGCGTAGATCTCAGAGGAGAAAATGCCAGGCAGAGGGAAAGACAAGCTTTTCAAGCCCTGAGTCAGTAATGAGTTTGGTATCGAGACCAGCGTGGCAGGAGCAGGGGAGACCGACAAAGCAAGAGCAGAGAGGGAAGTAAGAAGCCACTTCACACAGGGGCTTGCAGATGACACAGGTAGAAAGTTTGGCTCCGAGTTGATGCCCCTAGTCCTGTGAGGGAAGTACTCCTGGAGGAGCAGTTCTGAGGTGAGGAACCCAAGGGTTTAAGGGACAGGAGTCCTGTGTGTGCGAAGGCCTCGAGCTGTTGAGGCCTTGGCTGGGTCATTAGCGGTGCAGTGGCTAGTTCCGGAGGGGGATTCCGAACTTCCCTTGCCCAGAGGAAGCCCTTGGGAATTGTATAACCAGGAGAAGGGCATCACTAGAGAAGAACCGACCGTGTTTTTGGAAGAATATATGTGGAGGTTAGGCTATGGAAGAGAGGTTTTGGGGAGCCTGCTTACTCCTTGGAGGCTCGGAGTGTTGGGGGCAGTTCGAGGCGGCCGGGGGTGGGGGGCGGGCAACATTGCAGGGATCCTGATCATGACTCGGCTTACAGAATCCAACCCTGACAGTTGGAGCTGCTGTAGACATGGTTTGGACAGCCCCAGGAGGTCACGAGTTCGCCTGTCTCTGTAGGCATACAACAACCACTGGGCAGGAAGTGTTTGAGAGGGAGCAGCTATCTGGGCTCTGGGCTCTGGGGGACTCGAGCACCTAGTGGAGCAGGAGTCCCATCTCCAGCTGGGAATTGAGGCTGGGCTGGGGAGGGGCTGGAGGCTGGGAATATTTTTTTCGTTTTTCTCCTTCTGAAGTGTCTCCGGAACGCTACAACTACGGCATCTCCAGCTCTTCTTCCAAAAGGACTGAAGGCAGTCGCCGCCGCCGGCGCCGGCAGTCAAGCGGTACTTCAGACGCCCAGCAGGGTCAGTGGGAGACAGGTGAGCCTCGCTGGTGGGCGTGATGGCAGCGTCATTTTCTTCCTCCTGAGCCCTGATGAACCCTCTCCATCCCGGCCCATCAAGGAAGGGGCCCGAGGGGTCCTTCTGTCTCCACACTCCTTTATGTGTGGTGTTTATTCTATAAAAGCATGTGTCCGGAAGCAACGAATGCAATTGTTTGTGGTGGTTTTATAGGGCATCTGAATGACATCACGCGGTGGGTAGTCTTCACGTGGCTGGCTTTGCTGGACACATTTCTGAGATTTATTCACGTTAGGTACCTTTAATTTGTTTCTTTTAATTTCCCTGCCAGTTCATTTAGGCTGTTTCCTCTTCCCTAGGTCCTAAATTAATCAAGCATAATTTCAAACATACAGAGCAGTTGAAAGATGAGTGCAGTGAGCATGCTCCTATTTTCCATCTCGATTCAGTAATTTTAACATTTGCCACTTATGCTTTACTGTGTATATATGTAAGGATGGATTTTTGGTTGTTACGTGTGTATATATATGTAACAATGGATTTTCGGTTGAACTCTTTGAAAGTAAGTTACACCCATCAGGATACTTTATTCCTAAATCAGCAGGCATTTCCTGAGAATGAGGAGATTCTCCTAGATCACCTCCAGACCATTATCATACTTAAGAAAATAAATACTAATCCTTTGATATCCTAATGTTTTATTTTCATGTCTCCCCAAGATGGTCTCCACTCTCAGGACCCACTCATAGTTGAGTTTCTCTGCGTCTTGGTGTTTTTAAAAGATTTTATTTATTTATTTGAGAGAGAGAGCACAAGCAGGGGAAGTGGCAGGCAGAGGGAGAGGGAGAAGCGGGCTCCCCGCCTAGCAAGGAGTCCAACGTGGGACTTGATCCCAGGATCCTGGGATCATGACCTGAGCCGAAGGCAGATGCTTAACCGACTGAGCCACCCAGGCATTCCTGTGTTCATTTATTATGTCTCCTTAATCTCTTACTTGAGAACCCAAACTCCTCCCCTGCCCCAGATTTGTTTATTTTCTTCCCATGACGTTGACTTATTGACTTTGTTGGGCCACTTGTTTTGTAGAATGTCACGATTGTTTTGGAAGTGTCCGATCATTTCCTCGTGGGGTCCCGGAACTGGTGTATCTCCCGTGAAGTGGGGAGCCCCCACACCCTCACCCTAGGAGACAAGCACGGTAGCAGCCACTGGGCGTTGTTTCTAATTTATGACTTGAAACTCGAAAACCCTGTAAACGTGTGGCCAGAAGAGTAGAGGGTAATTTCCAGGACTGAGAGTTGAGTGAAGTAAAGTAAGGTGCAATAAAAAGTGGGTCAGGAGGTTTGATGAGATTCAGGTTACATGTTTTGGCAGGAATGTTCCTTGGTTGATGCTGCGTGCTTCGCTTTGGAGTGCATCAAGAGGCTGACGGTCTCGTTTTCTTGCTGTGAGTGGGCAAGTTTGAACACTTGGTTAAGGTGGTGTCTGCCATATTTGTCCTCCGTAAAGGGACATTTCCCCCTTTAATGGTTAGTCAATCTGTGGGGTGACACTTTGGCACATCCTGTTCCCCAGTAGCATCCCCAGTGGGTTTAGCAGGCATTGGTCATCTCTTCCCGAACCAGTGATGACATTGGTGATCACAAAATGGTGATTTTCTTATTCTTTTCCAATGTCTATTAGCTGGCATTCTTTCGAGACGTTTCCCTTTTTTCTCTCTCTTTCCTTGGGCGGAGGGGGAGCAGCACTGTGGATTTCTGTATAATTATTTATTTACTGTGTTAGAATCCATTAGTCATTCTTCCTGAGGTTCAAATTGACTAGCTCCTACTGTCTTTTTGATGTGGCTCCATCATTCCTTGAACTTCCTGCTCTGGGGCACTGCAAGATGTCCTGCATTCAACTTGTACTTTTCCTTCCCCAGCCCTGGAATCAGCTATTTCCAGAAGAAGCCTGGTTTCTTTTAGAGGCACTGGCATTTAGAGACCAGGATCTGGGTGCTGAGTGTGTGTGTTGTTTCTGGGCTCTTTTAGTGAACAGAGCTAGAAATTGCTTTAAAAAATTCCTATTAGTTTTTTGGGGCCCCTGGGTGGCTCAGTCGGTTAAGTGTCCAACTCTTGATTTCAGCTTAGGTCGTAATCTCATTGTGCCCCATCTTTCTCATCTCATGATCTCAGATCAAGCCCCGTGTCAGGCTCTGCGCTGGGCATGGAGCTTGCTTGAGATTCTCTCGCTCCTTCTCCCTCTGTCCTTCCTGCTCTTGGGCGCACACGCTCTATCCCACCCCCCCCAAAAAAATTCGTCTTAATGTTTTCTTTTTTTTTTTTTTTAATGAGAGAGAGAGAGAGAGCACATGAGAGGGGGGAGGGTCAGAGGGAGAAGCAGGCTCCTCGCCGAGCAGGGAGCCCGATGCGGGACTCGATCCCGGGACTCCAGGATCATGACCTGAGCCGAAGGCAGTCGCTTAACCAACTGAGCCACCCAGGCGCCCCCGTCTTAATGTTTTCAAAATTAATATACAAAGACTTGTTTCTTGTACGCTAAAAATGTTGTTTATTGAAAGTTTTGAGGTAACAGATTTATTTGCCTCGTTTTACTACAGTTGTAGCTTCGAAAGTACGGCAGTACTGCTGCTGACTACATCTCCTGAATGAAGCGTACCGTTTATTTGTGGTTCTTCCTGTCCTGGGAGTATATCCCACCGAGGATTTACAGTCAAAATGATCTTCCAAGTTACTTGAAATAATTCTTCTCTAGTTCGCGTTACCAATTTTATATACAGCTAGGTTCGCTTCTTTCTGTTTAATTTTATGGTTGGTGTGTTTTTTCGTCTCTAATTTTTTGAGTATGTAAAGCAGTTTTATGACTCAAAAGTCAAAACTACCATATGTAAGAAGGATGTTCTTAGAATCATTTCCACTGGTCCCCAACCCCTAGTGAGTAGGTAACTAATTTCATTCGTTTCCTATTTGTCTTTACAGTGTTTTGTCTTGCAAAAATAGCAAGCTTGTATATATTCTTATTTTTTTTAATGCAACACATAACAAATTGTAGACACTTGTTTTGCACCTTGCTTTTACTTCACTAAACAGTCTACTGAGGGAATTACCCTGCGTACTGCTTGCTAGGTGTTTACATTGTGTTCACATTTAGAGAGTTATGAGCAATGCCCCAGTGGTCTGTTGTCACGCTTGTTTCCTGGCGTGGCTTGCAGGGCTTTCTTCAGGGTCAGACCTGGGAGTGGGACTGCTGGGTGGTGGGGTGTGCTCTTCTAGATGACACTAGGTTCTACTCACTGCTCATCCTATGGACCGGGCCACTGAGGCCCAGGAAGCAGAGGGGCTCACCCAGGGTCTCATGGCATGGAGACCAGCCTTGAGCTCTTCTGTAGGCCCCTGCCTCCGTGCTCTACCTGTTATCCTGGTCCTCAGTGTGTCCCATCTTTCTCTCCTCAGGTTCCCCACCGACCAAGCGGCAGCGGCGAAGTCGGGGCCGGCCCAGTGGTGGTGCCCGACGGCGGCGGAGAGGGGCCCCCGCCGCCCCCCAGCAGCCGCAGGAGCCAGCCAGACCTGCCTCAGAAGGCAAAGTGACCTGTGGTAGGTGTCTGTGGGCCTCGGCGAATGCTGGATGGTGCCCGCGGCCGGCTGCTGAGCCCGAGGGGGTCAGATGCGGACACTCGTGTGGAGTGTGGCACACCCAGTGGGGAGGCGGCGGCTTCCGTTCATCATCCTCTCTTGCTTGTCTCCGTCCTGCGTGTCGTGGAAGGATCACGTGTGCGACCTCCTCCAGGAAGCTTTTCCTGCTGACCCCTTGCTCTCAGTTTCGTCTGTTTTTTCAGTAAACGTTTTTATAGGTTTCCTTACTCTGTAGTGGAGTAACATGTGGGTAAAAATTGAGGATCCTGGGCCAGGCTGCCAGATTCGCCCCTTAGCCTTGGCATTTAGATAGGTGTCTGACCTTGGGCAGGTGGCTGAACCCTTCTGTGTAAAAGGAGGCTGATAGGGTGCTTCCCACCTGGGGTTGTTGAGAGAGAAAACGAATTAGCCTGATAATAGGTTTGCCCCAGTGCCTGGCCTGGGGCCCGTGCTAGGCGCTGCGTACCGGTTGGTGCGTCTTCTTGCTGTTACTGTGCAGTGTGCTTGGGACAGGAACAGCAGTGGGGGCCCTGCCCTTGGGGAGGCGACCTTCTAGTAGGGTGACAGATCAGTGAAACTGAAGCTTGCTTTAGATAGTGCCATGAACAGAGGGTGGGGAGTGGGTGGAGAAGCCCGGCAGGAGCCAAGCTACTGGGCCTGGCAGACCTTGGAGTGGATGGGAGTGTGGATTTTATTCCACACGGCAGGTGTTACCTTGGGTTTTCAGCAGGGGAGCGAGGTTGATCTGACACCTGCTTTTGATGGAATTCTGACTTTATCTGGAAAATTAGTTAACGAATGATTTATAAAGTACGTAGAACTGCATTAGGCATATGTATTTATGTGTATATATGTATATATATATACGTATGTATGTGTGTGTGTATATATATATATATGTGTGTGTGTGTGTGTGTGGTGCCGTGCCTGGTGTGTGTTTAAATTAAACACAAAGGAAGCAGGGAACAGAGTGAAGAGGCTGGACAGCCTGAACAGGAGAGGCTGGAGGTCTGGCCCGGGAAAGGTCTGGCGGGAACTAACAGGGCTGCCTGGGCCTGCACATGTGGTAGGCCAGGTGGGTTGTGGGCTCTGCTTTAGAGATTCGTGCTTTGACCTTGCCTTCGGGAAATTCCACGTGGCCCTGAGGGTCGTAGACGGGCACGGGTGGGTGCACTCTCACTCAGCCCACACCTCTTTGGCTCCCTCTCCTCTGAGTGTCCCATCCACTCCACCGATGAGGCTGCAGATAGCCGTGCTCGGTGCTGCCGGGAGGAACAGACCAACAGAGCCAGCCGATGTCCTCTGACAACCCTCAGCTGCCCGGTGTGACTCTCCCCCGAGGCAGGCAGTCCTGAGCAGAGCCACGGGGCTGGCTGGGCAGCAGAGGGAATCCCTGCCTCCCTAAGGAGCCTGCTGAGCTGAGGCTGGGGAGGGGTCTTGTTGCCTGTGGAGGCTTCAGGTCTCTTCCCCAAGGGCAGGGCTGTGGCAGGGAGGTTGTTACGCAGGGTGTGGCTGGGTCTTGCTGGGAGGACTGTAAGCAGGTCTGACTGCTGACTCACTAGGCAGGGTGGGGCTGGAGGGAGGCTCTCCCCAGTAGGGCCCTGGTGGTTCCCCCTGAAAGCCAGGATGCCTCACCTTTAATGAGGCCCAAGATCAGGGGTGGAAGGAGGCTCCTTCAGACCGGAGTGACCTGCCATTTTTGCCCCCTAGTTTGTGATAGCTGTGGGGCTTAATCCCTAGTCAACTGCCCTCCCCAGAGGGGAAGAATTGGACCAAACTCTGGGTTTCTGAAGGGGAAGGGTGTCTGGAGTACCCTGGGTTTGGCCTCTTGAGTTTCCACACCCCTTTCAGGGCCATCCACCGGGCCCTGTGCTGGGCACGCTACTCGCCTGGCCCAGAGTTTTCAAGACGGCCCTGAGGTAGGGGTGACAGCCCCCACTGTGCAGAGTGGCAGGCTTGCTTCATGCTGTTACTCCACGCGTGTCCTTAGAGCGCTTACTATGCGCTAGGCACAGCACGGATGGGAGACGCTTGTCCTCACGGAGCACGTGTTTTGGTGGGAGGAGAAAGTGGACAGAAACTTCAGAGGGCAGCTGAGAAGAGAAGGCAGGGCAAGGGGGGAGGGAGTGATGGAAAATGCAGTTTTAGATGTATCTTCAAGGTAGAGTGGTCTCAGAAGCTCTCTTGGAAGAGACAGCGAGTGTGTGGATGGCTGGGGAAGAGTGTTCTAGATCTGGGGACAGCAGCTGCCAAAGTCAAGTGGGAGTGAGCCAGTGGTGATGAAGGGCTGGTGAGGAATCTGGCTGAGCAAGGGGGCTGCTGGAAGGTGAGCGCAGGAGAGGTGGGGGGCCCGTCTTGCGGGCCAGGGGGCCAGGCCTTTCACTGCTTTACGTGACGGAAAGCAGCCAGAGGATTTGAGTGACAGGATGAGCTTTGCTTTTCTCCCTGTTTCTCCGGAGGAGGGACAGGTAGGCACACCAGCGTGATGACCTGGTACCCCCTTTGTTGTGCCTCAGCCCTTGGCAGCTCATGGGTGAGCCTGTTGGACCATCCACGGTGTCTTGGAGTCACTTTTAGGGGTCCTGTTACGTCGTCTGTGGGTTTTTCACTGTGTACCTCTAAAAGATCAGAATTCTTGGAAAAATTATTGCACCGAAAACATTAAGTTCCGTACTATCAAATGTCCAGTCAGTGCTCTTATGTTGTCCCATTGTCTCAGAAGTGCTGACTCTCTATGGGGCGCCTGGGTGGCTCAGTCAGTTAAGCATCTGCCTTCGGCTCAGGGCATGATCCCTGGGTCCTGGGATCGGTCAGGCTCTCTGCTCCTCGGGGAGCCTGCTTCTCCCTCTCCCTCTGCCTGCCGCTCCTCCTGCTTGTGCGCGCTCTCTCTTTCTCTCTGTGTCAAATAAATAAATAAAATCTTAAAAAAAAAAAAGAATAAAAAAGTTAACTTAAAAAAAAAGTGCTGGCTCTCTCTTTTTAAATTTAATTTCTTTGAGAGGGAGAGAGAGTGCACGAGCAGGGGGAGGGGCAAAGGAACAAGCCGACTCTCCGCTGAGTAAGGAGCTCAATGCTGGGCTTGATCCCGGGGTCCTGGGATCATGACCTGAGCGGAAGTCTGACACTTAACTGACTGAGCCACCCAGGTGCCCTAGTGCTGGCTCTCGTAAGTCTCCTGGTCTCTGAGATTTCCCCCGCCATGTCGGCTCTCTTTCCCCCCATCCCTCTAGCTTTGTATTTGTTGAAAGTAGTTGTCCTGTAGGTTTTTTTTTTTTTTAAGATTTTATTTATTTATTTGACAGAGGGAGACACAGCGAGAGCGGGAACACAAGCAGGGGGAGTGGGAGAGGGGGAAGCAGGCTTCCCGTGGAGCAGGGAGCCCCATGTGAGACTCGATCCCAGACTCCAGGATCATGACCTGAGCCGAAGGCAGACGCTTAACGACTGAGCCACCCAGGTGCCCCATGTAGTGTTTCCTAAAGACTGAATTTTGCCAATTGCATCCTGCAGTCGAGTTGATTGATATGGTCCCCTATTGTCCATGTTTCCTGAAAATCGGTGGTTGGCTTGGAGAGGCTTGATCAGATTCTGGTATGATGTTTTATTTTCAAGCTCATTTCCCAGGTGGTATTGTGGCCTTCCATCGGGAAGCAGGTAGTGAGTGGCTGCTTATCTTTCTCTGATGTTGGTGGCAGCGTTTCCTCTTTGCCTCGATCTTTTAGTTCAGTCAAACCTTATATCTGACATGACGACGCTGGCCACGTCCCGGGGAAGAGACTAAAGCAGGGGATGGGTGCCGCTGTTGTCCAGAGGAGGGTGGTACTGGCCCTGGAGGGGCAGGGGTCTTTCCATCAGAGCACTCTGGCTGCTTCTCTCCCCCTTGTGCCTGTCCCTGTCCCTTCCCTGACCCCCCACTGGGAATCCCTGCCCATTTCCCTCTGCATCTCATTCTGCCCTAGAAGAGAGAGGGATGAGGTGTGGGGTTGGGGGACAAGAGGATGCTGGGGCCGAACTGCATGCAGGAACAAGAGCAGCTGTCCTCACTAGGAAGGCATCGCCAGACCCTGTGTCCTGGGGACAGGGAGCCTTTCTGCACAGCTGCCCAAGTGGAGGAGGGACTGTTGCTAAATGCTTGGTGTTCCTGGCCAGAGGAAGCAGTTCAGCCAGCCCCCAGCCCAGGTCACACGGGGGCCAGACGCTCTTCCCACCTTGCTCCTCACGGACACACGTGGCCCAGTCCGTCCACTTGTCTCCATGTCTGCTGCATCTGTCCTGGCCCCTTAGCCTTCCCTGACCCCTGCCCTGGCTCTGTTCCTGCCGCCTTACCGCTTCCGCAGTGCAGCCCGAGTCATCTCGGCGTGAGCTCACGTCCTTCCTGAGGCCCTCGGAGGGCTCGTTATATGCCAGGCACTGGCCTCTGCTCTTTACTTGCAGCCAGTGGTGTAATCCCCAAAGTGACCCCTCGAGAGCAGGTGCTGGGTGAGGTTTTACGAGGGAGGCCATTGAGGTGCAGGGGGAGTGTGCTTGCCTCGTGAGGCCCCGTCCCTCCAGTCATCCCCTGATGCCCTTCTCCTCCACGTGGTCCAGCCACCCCGGCCCCTTGCCTGTGAATGCCTCAAGTTCATTTTCTGCTTCTGGACTTTGATGCAGGCTGTTCTCTTTTCTGGCAAAGCTGCTCTTCCTTCTCCTTGTTTTTCTCTCTCGACCTACTTCTTCACATTTTACTTCCAGTGTCATTCCTAGAGAGGTTCTGTCTGATCATTGCAATCTAAATTACACCTCGCTCTCTCTAATTTTCTCTTGTGGCCCTTGGGGTGTCTTTTAATTATAGGTTTCTGTGTGTCATTGTGTGAGAGGCAGCAAACAGGACAGGGGGAGTTACGAGCTCAGGCTCTGGAGCCAGGCACCCCGGCTGGAATTCCAGCTCTGCCATTTCCTGCCTCTGTGCCCTTGGGCAGGTGACTCATCCTCTGTGCCTCAGTTTCCCCATCTGCAGAAAGGAGGTAATAGCATCGCCTTAGAAGGTTGCAGGGAGAATCAAGGGGTCAATAAATGTGACGTGTTGCCAGTCTGCAGTAAATACTCTATACACGTCACCTATTGTTCCTTGGTCATTTTGTTGAGGACTAAAGGAGAGATGGGGTTTGGTGCCCCTGATTCCTGGCCAGGGGTGGCGGGGTGGCTTCAGGTAACACAGGTCTTCCCCTCTTCCCTCGTGGAGTCGCCTTGTCCTCTTTCTGTGTATGCCACCCTGTTGTGTTCCAGACCCGAGGTTGGACTGTGGTCTGGGGAAGGTGTTCCTCATTTGTCAATGGGGATAAGGAAAGTGCTGTGGGGATTTAGGGCCGGAGATCGGGAGAGCCCTTGGGTAGGGCCTGGCCCGTGAGAGGTGTTCCCTAACTGGGGTTCCACATATTGCAGGCCCACTGGTGGTGGGGCATGCATGTCACCCCACATTCCTGGCACTTCGTAAATAGATCTGTTGGATGGAAGAATGGATGGGACACACACTAGTCCGTCCTGGTCCTTTCGTCCTTCCACCCCCCATGTTGGGGGTAGGCTCTGAACGGTTTCTGCCACAGGTTGAATACCGACCTGTGCTGAGGAGAAAGGCGATCTGGGAGGGTTTCACCCGCTCGGGATGTGTGGTCCTAGGAGCTGGGCCTTGGTGAGTGAGTGGAGCTGTTGTGGACAGAAGAGGTGGACAGGTCATCGTGTGAGTAAGGCTTGTGCTGGGGGCACTGCCCTTGTGACTGGAGGCAGGGCAGGGGAGAACGCAGCCGGGACTGAGGGAGGAGGTTGACTCAGGGGCCCAAGTGAGAGAGGGTCAGGCCTGGGCAGGGGCCATGGGGTAGAGAGATGGGTGTCTAAATCGCAGTTCCTGTTTCTGGGTGCCTTTGGTGTCCTAGGACTTGGCGAGTGTTTCATGAGTTGCTTTTTTGAATTCTCATGACCGCACCATGCAGCAGGGACCTCTTGTTTGTCTGTTTATGTTTTTCAGATGGGGAAACTGAGGCTCAGGTGAGGTCACATGCCCAAGGCCCCACAGCTAGAGAGTGGCAGAGCCGGGACTCGCCTCAAGGTCTGTCGGACTCCGCCACCTGGCTCTGTGCCTCTGCCACTGAGCTGCCCCGTGTGGCCTTGGACAGGTGCTGCCCCTCCCAATCCCCTGCTCCCTGGTCTACACCACTTGAGGGCATGGTCAGACACTCAGGGGAGTCCAGGCTGTGGGCCTGAAGGTCTTGTGTAGTTCCTAACATGGAGGGAGCCAGGCCTGAGTGCCGTGGGAAGTCCTGGGCCCCAAGGCCAGGTTGGGTTCCCTGGGCCTCGAGCGGAGAGGGTGATGTTCCCTCGCAGAAAGAGGAAGGGTTTGGGGTGGGAGGAGGAAGTGGGTGGTACTGAGAAGTCATCTGGGGGAGTGGGGACCTGCCTTCCACCTTGTGCTCTGCTGCTGACACCGTGTGTGGAAGGCGAAGGAAGTCAGGCACTTGGCACTTCCCTTTCCCGAGCTTGTTTCCTCATCTGTCCGCTGGGTTGCTTGTGGCCCCCGCCCCACAGGGCCGGTCCGGCTGAATGGCGGGGGTGAGGCATTTGGCACATCGGAGCTGTTGGCGGCTGCCCTTCTCGGAGCACCCGTTGGGCGCTGTTTGCACTGCTAGCCACTTTTCCATCCATTGCTCTCACTTTAATCCTTTCAACAGCCTTTCAGAGTGGAATTCCCAGGTTCCAGCAAGAACCTGGGCTCAGAGAGGTGCTGACTTGTGCCAGGTCACGCAGCAGTGCCCGAAGACTCCTGGGTTAGAATCGTCTCCACTGGCCCAAAGCTGCCCTCTGGGGCACAGGACGCTCAGTGACGTCTGTGGAGCCCCTCCACGCCCTGGCCGCGCGACCTTGGGCAGATTCCTTCCCTTCTCTTTGCCCCCGTTTGCTCACCTGTAAATTGGGGTGACAGTAGGGCCTGTCTGACGGGGCGGTCGTGGATTAAATGAGTTCGTATGTGGGTAGTGCCTGTTGTCCTTTCCAGCTTGTAGCTGACCCTCGCAGCCGGTGTGGTGTCGAGAGGGGGTTCTGTTAGGAGCCTGAGTCACGGGTGGAGCTTTAGTAATCCCACACGGAGGTGATCCGCCTGAGGTCACACTTACAGGGACAGTCTAGGAAATCCTGGGTCCTGTGCCCTGCGCAGAGCTGCCCCCTTATTTGGGCAGGTGTGGGCAGGGTCGTAAGTAGCAGAAACTCAGCTCAGACTGGTCTGAGCAAAAAGGGAATTGATCTTGGCTGAGAATCTGGGAGTTCCAGGGCTTGCGTGAGGAACTTCGTTTTTTTCCTCTCTGTCGTGACCCCGGCTAGGCCTCACGCTCTCCCCTCCTGGTGGCCAAGGGCCCCCAGCAGCTCCGGGCTTAGGGCCCATCGTCTTAGCGGCCTCTGAGGGAAGAGGGCGCCTGCTGCCAGCAGAGCTCGCCCGGTCCCAGCCTTGAGACCCCTGGGCGGCGCTCGCGTGCTGAGTGTGGGGGCCCCACAGGAGTCTCACTGAGGGCAGGACGGGGTGAGCCTGGTTGCCAGGCAAGTCCATCAGTCCAGGCATGGGTTCTTGCACAAATATATATCGAGCGCCTACTGTGTGCCACAGGGCTACACCAGTGAATAAAACAGTCCCTTCAGGGGGCTCACCCAGGGAGACAGGTGATAAGCCTGACAGTATAAGGGAAAGCACTGAGATTAGAAGGTGGTAAGTGCTTTGGGAAGAAAGGGAGCAGGGTCTGGGGGACTGGGAGTGCCGGGGGCCGGGGTGGTGGTGGTGAAGTTTTAAATCGGGAGGTTAGGGGAGGCCTCATTAGGAAGGTGGCATTTGGAGGAAGTGAGGGAGCAAGTGCTGCGGGGCGGGCCAGAGCATCCCCAGCTGAAGGAGAGGCAGGGCTGAGCAGAACCTGCCTGGTGGGTAGGGGTGCAGCAGGGTGCTGAGGCTGGAGTGCGGCACGTGCGGGGAGAGGAGGTCGCCGAGGTCGCTGGGACAGGAGGTAACAGAGGCCAGGCCCCAGGAGAGAAGCCAGGGGACGGTGTCACTGTACTTGGGTGTGGTTACCACAAGGGGGAAGGATGTGGGTAGGTGCAGTGCAACCCATGGGGCAGTGGGAGGAGCCTGTGGGAGGAGGCTCGGGGTGGGAGGAAGGGGTTGTGGGGCTTGGTCCTTTGAGCTGGTCCCTTGCACCGCCCTGTGTGGAGCGTTGGCCCCTCCCTGACCAGTCCCTCCTTCTCCGCAGACATCCGGCTCAGGGTGCGAGCAGAGTACTGTGAGCACGGGCCTGCCTTGGAGCAGGGTGTGGCCTCCCGGCGGCCCCAGGCGCTGGCCCGGCAGCTGGACGTGTTTGGGCAGGCCACAGCGGTGCTGCGCTCCCGGGACCTGGGCTCCGTGGTGTGCGACATCAAGTTCTCCGAGCTCTCCTATCTGGACGCCTTCTGGGGCGACTACCTGAGTGGCGCCCTGCTGCAGGCCCTGCGGGGCGTGTTCCTGACTGAGGCCCTTCGCGAGGCCGTGGGCCGGGAGGCTGTCCGCCTGCTGGTCAGTGTGGACGAGGCCGACTACGAGGCTGGCCGGCGCCGCCTGCTGCTGATGGAGGAGGAGGGAGGACGGCGCCCAACTGAGGCCTCCTGATCCTGGACCTGGCAGGACTGAACCCACCTCCTAGCCTCCGGGCCACTTTCTCCCCCGGAGGACATCCATCCCTGCCCCTAGAGGACTGTCACTCCAGCAGCCCTGAGGACTGGGACAGATGGCCTGGCCCCTTGACAGACTCTCCCACAGGATGTGGGCTCTGAGGCCGAAACCACTTCCACCTGAGTTTCCTTCCCAGCCTCCTCCCAACCCTACCCTCTGGTGTGTTCCCTCAGCTTCAGGAGGCCAGGGACTCAGGCATGCAGATCAGAACGGGAGGGAGGCATAGCTACACATTCACCAAAGGCCCCCTGCACACCGTGTTCCTGACTGTGGGCTGCGTGCACGCATGCACACGGCCCCCTCTGGAATCTCCCCTGGGCTCCTGCCTTGGCCTGCTCCACACATGTCTTTGGCCTAAGGGCTTCTCTCTCAGGATCTCTGATTTTACTTCCCCCAACCCTGGACCTCAGCCACGCTGGGCACTGGGGCTAGGGTGCACACGGGGCCTGCTCACCTTGCCCACACATCTCTCTAGCCAGCCAGGGCTCTCTGCCCTGCTTCCATACACAGACCTGGCTCTCCACATTCTCCTGCTCGCCACAGTTGGACGCAGACTTGCACAAGGACCTGCACCCGGAGTGTCACACGTGCATTGCAGCAGCATCAGACCAAGTGTGTTGTTGCCCATGGGGCCAGGATCAGAAACCAACTTCCTTCTCCGAAAGGGAAGGCAAAGGCTTGGGGCTGATGAGAAAGGCCTTTTATAAATGGCGCCAATAAAACGGCCCTGGATTGGGGCTTAGGGTGGGCATCAAGGCTCCCTAGGACTCTTTCTTTATGGGCTGGAGGAAGGAGCTGATGAGGACCTGGGCCTATTACCAGTCCTGGGGTTCCTGGCCCAGTATCTGGCTAGAGGAAGGGCAGGATGCTGGAGCGTCATCTGCTGCTGCTACCACAGGCCTGCCCTCCTCTCTGGGCCTCAGTTTCCTCATCTGTCAAAGGAAATACTGCCTTGGAGTCATAACCTGTCCCAGCCCCATTTGCATATGCTTTGCTCTTGTTAGGTTCTTGGGAGTACTAGTGTTTTTATTTTATTCCCTGAGGTGCCAGCTATCTAGTCCAAAGCTTTGGAAACCAAACCTTTCATGAGCTACAGTTCTCTGCCTGGAATCCCTCCCCAGATGGCTCCTCATGCTTTCTGGACAGTCACCTCTTAAATCTGGACCTACATTCTTCCTCCCGAGCCCAACACTGCTTCCTGCTGCCTTGTGGCTACCGGAGGTTGTGGCCCCTTTCCCCACCCCTTGTTTAAGGGCTTAGGAACTCAGGTTTCTTACACAATAACCAAGGTTTTCCTTCCTGTGGGGGAAGGGAACCGGGCTGGGGAATGGGAGTGGGTGAGAGGGGGTGGGCAGGGACTGCTGGCCTTTCTGGGGAAGAGGTGCTCCTGCCCACATCTGGGAACCTAGACCCCTGGCCTGTGTTGGTGTAGAGGGACACTGTGGCAAGTCTAGGGGTGGAGTCCTGACCTGCAGTCAAGACCTGGTCTAGCTAGTTGCTTTTGACTTCAGACTATACCTTTACTCTCTGGAAGGGAGCTAAGGTCTGCTGGGCACCTCCTCAAGATCTATTTAATGCTTAGCTTGTGTGAAGTAGGGATTCTACCTCCATTTTTGACAGGAAATGGGCTTCAGAGCGGGGGAGGTGACTTTCCTGGGGGATAGAGAAGCACTGAGCTCCAGAGGCTCTCCCCCCTAGTGGACGCAGGTTGGGGAGGCAGGTGGGGGGTTTCCACGCCCCTTCTCTTCCGGTTGGGGGACTGTCCTTGGTCTGGGCGGGAGTAGGTTTTCTCTTCAAGGTTTGGGGCTTTCCGTACTTGGGGGTGGGAGCTGCTGCTGGTCCTGCCTCGGCTGGGCTGAATTGCGGAGTCGGCCTCATCATTGGGCTTTGAGGCTTGTCTCTCCGCCCCTTATGAATGAGGGGCCCAGCCCCCTTGCGGGGAGAGATTCAGGCCCTGTCCACGCGTCAGTTGCGTGACATGGGCCCCGCCCATGGCCCGCCCTCCCCCATTCTCGTGGCCCGCCCGCCCCGCCCTCTTCAGCCGGGGGTCCGCCTCTCTCGCCGGCACGCGCGTGCCGGAAGTAGAGACGCCTAACCGCGAGGCCGCGGGAGGCCGCGCAGGCGCGGTGCGTGCCAGGAATCGGCGGTGGCGGGAACCTTGAGGAGGTGTCTCTCGCCTCCAGAGCTTACGTGAGCGCCTGCGCTGTGGAGCTGGCCTGGACTTGCCAGAGCCCGCGCCGGACACCGGGGTGACCGACACACCCCTGAGGCCCAGAAGTGGGTCAGACCCAGGCCATGAGGACAAGCCAGGGAGATCCAAGAGCTTCAGGAGTCGATGAAGGATTCTGTGGGGCAGGGCATGGACAGGCTGCGGCCAGGCGAACTAGGGGCCTGTGGGAGCTCAGAGGAAGGCAGGTTTCACAGAGGAGAGGAGCCCCGAGCTGGCTCTTGAAGGATGAGTAGGAGTTCAACAGAGTGACAGAGGGGCCTTCCAGCAGAGAGAACAGCTCCCGGGAAGGCCTTAGGGAACGTGCCCGAACGGGGTGCAGAGAGACGGATGGACAGGCAGAGTCAGAGGTAAGTGGCGGTGCGGAGTCAGCCACCCCCTCGTTGGCACAGCGGCCATCCGCCCCATCGGGCTGGCCACGATGACAGTGACAGTACGATTACGCTAGAAGGTGGTAGATGAGGCGGGCCCCCTGTGGCTCCGCAGCTGCTGTGCTGGCGGGCGAGCCACGCCGGGCCCCCGGGCCCCCGCGGGTCACAGCCCAGGGTGGGCGGTGACTGAATAAGCAGCAGAGGCTGGGGGAGCCCAGAGGACATGAGTGGAGGTCCCCAGGAAGGCCTCGTGGATCGGAGCCCTGTTCATTCTGTTTAGAATCAACACCACCATCATATGTTTCAACTGCGAAATAGAACATTCTGAAAAGTTCGGACAACGGATAGATGGTGTTAGTGCATTGTAAAACACCTGTGCCTCCCACATTAAGAAATACCGTACCCCCAGGGGCGCCTGGGTGGCTCAGTCAGTTAAGCGTCTGCCTTCGGCTGGGGTCGTGATCTCGGGGTCCTGGGATCCAGCCCCGCATCGGGCTCCCTGCTCGGCGGGAAGCCTGCTTCTCCCTCTCGCACTCCCCCTGCTTGTGTTCCCTCTCTCGCTGTCTCTGTCAAATAAATAAATAAAATCTTAAAAAAAAAGGAATACCTTACCACACCCCAGAAGCCCCTCACCACCCCACACCTGGCTGTCATGTGCTCCCTCTTGACCACATCCCCCCCCCCCCCCACCACCACTTACTTCCCCTAGCTGGGAACACTATCCTACCTTTCACAGTAATAATTCCTTGCCTTTTTTTTTTTTTTTTTTTGCTAGTTTTATGTTCCTCGATGATGTAGTTCATTTTATCTCTTCTTGCACTTGATATAAATGGAATCGTACAATATATCTTCTGTTGTGTCTGCTTTCTTTTGCTCGGTGGTGTGTTTGTGAGGTTCCTCCATGTGTCTGTTAGTAGTTAACTCATTTTTATGAACATCCCCCAAGTACTTCATGCATTGCACTGTTGGTGGACATTTAGGTTGTTTCCAGTTTGGGGCTGTTATAAATAAGGCTGCTGCGAACATTGTTGTGCATGGTTTTTGGTGAATGAATGCCTACATTTCTGTTGGGATATACCGGGAAATGAAACTGGTGGACATGCATATGTTCAGGTAGATACTGCCTATGTTAGTTTCCTATGGCTGATGTAATAAATTACCACAAATTTGATGGCTTAATACAAAAGAAACGTATTCTCTGTACTTCTGAAGGCCAGAAGTCTAAAATGTTCACTGGGCTAGAATCAAGGTGTCAGCAGACCCATACTCCCTCCAGAGGCTCTAGGGAAGAATTTGCTTTTTGCCTCTTCCAACTTCTGGTGGCTGCCAGCATCCCTTGGCTTGCGGCCACATCCCTCCAATCTCTGCCTCTGTGATCACATTGCCTCCTCTTCTGTCTGAGTCACATCTCCCTAGACCTCCCTCTTATAAGGATGCCTGTGATGGCATTTAGGGACCACCTGAATAATCAGGATAATCTCCTCATCTCAAAATCCTTACTTTAACCACATCTGCAGAGATTTTTTTTGCCATCCATGATCACATTCACAGATTCCAGGGATTAAGCCGTAGACACCTTTTGGGGGACATTTTGCAGACTGCCACATTGCCAAACTATTTTTCTGAAGTGTACCAGGTTACTCTCCCACCAGCACTGAATGAGAATTCTTTTTGCATCCTCTCTTTACACATCGTCATCAACACTTGGTATTGTCAGATACTTTAATTTTGCCAATCTAATGAACGTGTGGTATCATTGTGGTTTATTTTTCTTCTCCCTGATGATTAGTTTCTGCTCATTCTTGAATGACAAGTAGGAAGTCTTTGGTGGATAGAATGGGCAAGGGTATTACAGATAGGTGGAATAGAATGTATGAGATCTCAGGGAACATTTGTCTTTTTTTTTTTTAATATTTTATTTATTTATTTATTTGATAGAGACACAGCGAGAGAGAGAGAGCACAAGTGGGGGGGTGGGAGAGGGAGAAGCAGGCTCCCCACTGAGCAGGTAGCCCGATGTGGGGCTCAATCCCAGGACCCTGGGACCATGACCTGAGCCGAAGGCAGACACTTAATGACTGAGCCACCCAGGCACCCCTTGTCTTCTTTTCTTTTTGTTTCTTTTCTTTTCTTTTTTGAGAGAGCGAGTGAGGGGTGGAGGCAAAGAGAGAGGGGAGACACCCAGTGTGGAGCCCGATGTGGGGCTTAATCTTGACCCTGAGATCATGACCTGAGCCGAAATCAAGAGTTGGATGCTCAACCGACTGAGCCACCCAGGTGCCCCTCAGGGAACATTTGTTTAAATTGAATAAGAGGTCTTTTTTAAGGCACTAGGTTATTAAAAGAGAATGCAGAGAGATAAATGGGACAAAGTCAAACTTAAATAAGATGGTCCAATATGAGGCTCTGGCTGGGCAGGGAAGGGAGAGAAGCCAGGAGGGGTCTGGCCAACTGGCCCCAAACAGAGAGATCACGGGAGTGGAGCTCTCTGTGAGCTAATCTACAGGTGTGATGGCAGTGGGGGCCTGGGGGCCTGGAAGGCAGGTGCTGGGATTAGAGCTCAAGATACTGGATTTTGAGCTCGCAAAACAGTAATGGGTTGTGGTTAAAACCAGGGCTTTTTGATTTGGGACCCAGAGAGTCCTGCATTAGCATCCTGGCCCTACCACTTTACTAAATGTCACCCAGAACTGTGCTCCTTTCCTGATCCCCCAAATCATTCAACAATCATTTGCCCATCGTCTGTTCTGGCTACTACAGGATGGGTCAGATCCAACCCCTCCCTTGACAGGCTCTGGCTTAGTGGGGGACATGATCACTGGGGGCATCTCAAAGGGACATACAAGGAGCTGTGGAAGCTCAGAAGGGGCACACACTGACTCTAATCTGGCTTCACGGAACTTGGGCTTCCTTGAGGCTTATGTCTTCAGGTTCTACCACCCTCCATGCCACTTCCTCATTGACATCTGTTGACTCTGGTCACTTGCCCTCATTCCTGAAGACTCTAGCACCTCCTCACAGACTGTATCTCTACCCCATGCCACAGTCCTACTGGAATACTTAACCTCCCTGGTTGGAGGGAGGTTGATGACTCAATCTTCCAATTATCTAGCCTCTTGGTCTCCTTCCACCTCATCTCTGCTGACCTTCATCCCACTCCAGCCATTCATTCCCGTGACCACACCTTGGACTTAGTCATTACTTGGAAGTGCAGCGCACATAGCAAACATTTGCTGAGCATTCATACCACATGTCAGGCATAGTGCCAAGTGGTTTACATGTGTTTACCCTCACAAAAACCTGCAAGGTTGGTATTAGTAGCCTCATTTTAAAGGTGAGGATGCACACTAAGGAAGGTGACGTCACTTCCCTGGCTGATGCATAGTGAAGTGGCAGGGCTAGGATGCTACACAGGATTCTCTGGGTCTCACATTAAAAAGCCCTGGTTTTAGGGGTTCCTGGCTGGCTCAGTTGGTAGAACATGTGACTCTTGATCTTGGGGTTGTAAGTTCAAGCCCCACGGTTGGGTGTGGAGATTACTTAAAAACAAATAAAATCTTTAAAACAAAACAAAAAAAGCCCTTGTTTTAACCACAACCCATTACTATTTCCATGCCTGAAATCCAGTATCTTGCACTCTGATCCCAGCACCTGCCTTCCAGGCCCCCAGGCCCCCACTGCCATCACACCTGTAGATTAGCTCACAGAGAGCTCCACTCCCGTGATCTCTCTGTTTGGGGCCAGTTGGCCAGACCCCTCCTGGCTTCTCTCCCTTCCCTGCCCAGCCAGAGCTTCATATTAGACTATCTGATCTTTCTCGCTAGCTCTCTAATAGTTAGGGTCCCAGCAGGAAACAGAGGGCATCACAGCTGGGATTTCAAAGATAATTTAATGAAGGAACTATTTGCAGAAGTGTGGGCAGGGTTGAGGGAACCAACAAGGGAGGTGAAAGCAACAGGAAGCTGTGACCACCCTTAGGTCTGCAGGGGTGAGGAAAGGAAATGGTACTACTGGAGCCCAGCAAGAGCCATGGGACATGCCTGAGAGGCGCTGAAATGAAAGGTACAGCCATGGCCAGAACCACGGTACTGACACAGAACTGGGAGTAGGAGAAGAAATATCCAGAACGGTGCTTTCTTCTCCCACTCTAACATCCTGCTGGTGCCTCTGTGGAGGTCCCAGCTAGATGTCAGATGGCAAGGGAGCCCAGGGGATGTTGTCCATATGGGTAGAGAAGGGTGGAGAGTGGACCTGGAAGGGCAAAGGGAAAATGACCAGCACACTCTTGATTGCTTTACGTTGGTGGCCTTCTGCCTCATCTAGCAGCATATCCCTAGCCTCAGTCCAGGTGGTTGTGACCTGTTCAGAGAAGGATGGTGGCAAAGTAGTCCAACTTCTTGGCCAGCCTCTCTCTGTCACCACTCTCCCACAATTAACCCCTGACACTACCCTTTCAGTCTCAACAAATACAGTTAAGGCGAATCAGTTGTGATTTCTTTCAGCTTCTTATTCAAACCTATAGGTATCCACACCCAGATTTCCTTCACTTCTCCAGGCTGTGTTGCAGGCAGCCTCTCCACCTGTGCATTACCCAGCCCATCATGACTCCCAGAGCATCACTCCGTCATCCTTCCCTTCTCTGTTTCGATAGTCCTTCCTGCTCTCTCTTCCCTCTTAGCCTATACATATGTCCAAGTTTCTACTGCCTTAAAAACTAACAAAGAGCCTCTACCTCCTTCTACCTCTAGTGCTTGTCCTTTTTCTCCTCCTCATCCCATCCAAAATTCTTGAAAAGATATGTATGAGTTAGGGTTCTTTGGCTGCAAGCAACAGAGACTGACTTGTGAGCTTAAGCAAGAAAGAAATTGATTAGAAGGAAATGAGGGTGGCACACAAGATGGAGGGAGAGACTGAAGAGCCCCGCTTCTGAAAGGACTTGAACCAGGGCAGTGGCAGGGATGGAGACAGCAGGAAGGAATAACAGTTTCCTCAGGGCCCTGGCTGCCGCATGAATCAGCTCCAACCAGGTTCCAGCAGCAGGTCACGTAAGCTCACGATTCAAATTCCAGGGAGAGCCTCTGATTGGTGCGGCTTGAGTCACGTGGCCTCCTCTTGGCCTGTGGACAGCTGGGCATCCTGACGGACAGTCTCGTGGAATCGTATCTGGTAGGCCAAGGGTGGTTACTCAGAGAAAAATCCGGGAGCTGTCATAGACGAGGGGGAAATGGATGCTGGGCAGGCAGAAACAATGGATGTCTGCGACGAGGAGCACTCCTGCTCACCAGCCCAGCCTTCATCTCCTATCTGAGCCTCAACTCACTGAAACCATTTGCACTGAGCTTGTGGGTGACCTTCTCTTGCCAAATCCAAGGACATTTTTCAGTCTTTATCTGATTCCATTGACCAGTACCTCTCTCTTGGAAAATCTTTCCTCCCTTGGCTTCTGCGTAACAAATCAATCTGCAAAACTTTCAGAATGACAGACATTTATTATCTCATAGTTTCTATGAGTCCGGAATCCATGAGCGGCTTAGCGGAGGGGTTGTGATCTTGTCTGAAGGCTCGGGTTGCATGTGTGGGGGATATAGCATGCTATAGTTTCCTCAGCGTGGGTGATCCAACAAAGGGATCAGGGAAGGGAAGGAGAGAGAGGAGAGAAGGGAAAAAAGATGTGCAAGCACGCACAGAAGTTGTGGTCTTTTTATAACCTAATCTTGGAAGTTACAACCCATCACTTCTGCTATAGTCTGTTCATGAGAAGTGAGTCACTAAGTCCAGGCCTCACTCATGGGGAGGGCATAACACAAGGCAGGAGGCAGGGGTCACTGGGTGCCTCTTAGAGGCTGC